GAAGATTCTAAAGACCCACTCCACTTGGAGAGGGGGAGCATGGAGGAGGGCGGGGTGGGCTAGCCATCTCCCCCAACCCAGTGACCAAGATCCAGCTCCCTCCTTCATCGGGTCCTGGGGTTCCTGCCCCAAGACTCAGGAGTCTGAGCCTCTGATCCTGGGGGCCCGAGATGAGACCCTCTCTCCTCTGCCTGAGCGTGAGGCCTCCAACCTCAGACTCAGAAATCCCACCCTCAGACTCCTGCTCCCCCAGAACCCAACAGGCCAGGCCCCAGGACCCAGGGGCTGGGGCGCCCGGGCTGTGGGCGGAGATGAATGGCGTTCTCCGGGGCCGCTCCCTCGCACACATCAGGTCCGACAGGTCCGGCTGGCCCGGCCGAAAGCAGGAGGGACTTTCATTGGCTTCCCCCCTTTCCCTCTCTCCCATCCGGCAGTGGCATAACCGGTTCTCGGGGTAGATAATTCCCAGCGCCACCCAATTTTCGGACTGTGTCTGGAGCCTGGGACTGGGCTCTGGACTCGTGAGAGGAGAGAAGGGAACGGAGAGCCCATGGGGCCTGGGAGAGCAGGCAGCTGGGTCCCTTGGGTCTCTGAACAGGTACATCTGAGGAGCTAGACACCTGAATCCAGGCACTCAGAGGCCAAGTTCAGGAATATGTCCGTAAGAGAATCTGTCCTTAGGCCCCAAACCAACATGGTATCTAAGACCCAGAACCTGGTCAGGGCATGCGACACCAGCTGCTTTAAAAAGGAAGCTGTTCTAGAACTTCCAATTCACTGAGAAGGAAACAAAACACAGCAACGCTGGGCAGAGATCTAGAAAGCCACGGGCAGGTGGAGACAGCACGGAGTGCAGAATGAACCCGTCCCCCGCCTTTCCAACGGGGAAGAGCTGCAATTGGGGCATATTCTGAAACGCTGAGCCAGCCAAAGCCATCCATCACTTAAAACGCAACGGGGTGACCTCAGGATGATATCTAAGAATATGCCTAATGCAATGCCCAACAAACCGAGTCGGGAGAGAGAACGCAAAATCTAGCGGGGATGAGGGTAGGAGAGGGCTCGCAGCCTTGTTTTTTATCCTGTGAATAGCTAATGCTAGCACGCAGATTGCTCTAGAGTTCAGAATATGCCCTCGAGGTGAAGAAAAACCTAGACAGTAAGCAAGGAGCTTGTCTGAAAGGTAGTGGTGCCCGGGGGAAGGTGTAGACGGGTGCATGCCTGGAATCGAGAAGTCCCTGGCATAAGGCCTGAGCTGGCAAAGGAGAGATAGGGTGCTCTGGGAATGAGGACGTTTCTAAGCTGAAGGCTCCGGAAGAGGGGAGAGGCCCAGAGCATGGTGAGAATGCTGGTGTGGCAGAAAGAGGCGGAAGCCCACAATCCACCAGGAGACAAGTTCCGAGCCAACCTCGCGCTAAGGAGAAGGGGGGCGGAGAAGGTGAGGCTGGCACGGATGGGCCTAGAACCTGAGAAGGAAGAGGTGAGGTAAAACACTTCCGTGGGAGTCCTCTAGATTGTAGACTGTAGATGGACCCTGAAGCAGGAAATAGAGTTGATAGCACAGTTAAAGGACTAGAGCTGGTTTTGCTCAGTGGATAGAGCATCAGCCTATGGACTGAAGGGTCCCAGGTTCGATTCCTGGTCCAGGTCACATGCCTGAGTTGCAGGCTCAGTCCCCAGTGTGGGGAGGGGGGGTTGTGCGGGAGGCAGCCGATCAGTGAGATCAGTGGTGATTCTCATCATTGATCTCTCTCTCTCTCTTCTTTCTTAAATAAGTAAGTAAGTAAATAAAAGACTAGAGCACATAATTGGAAGACACACATCCTTCTAGAACTTAGAATGGAATGCAGGACAACGCCAAGGATGTAGCTGGAGCCTAGAACACACCCAACATGAAATTTTAGCAGAGTCTAAGCAAGGACTGGATTCTGTCCCGAGAGGGAGTGGGGGTCAGCATTTGGCTTTCGGGGGTTATTTAGACATTTGACTTCATCTGGGTGAAGACATGCCTAGAATGTAGCATCCAGCCTGGAACTGAGCACATGCCTTGGGTGACGATGGAACAGAGGTGCTGACTGGGAACGTTCCAGGGTCTAGAAAGAGTCTGGAATGCGGGGTGTCGCAAGGGCAGTGTTTAACTGGAAATTCGGAAGACAGTGCGTAGGTTCTAGATCATCGGATGAGCCTAGGCCACAGGACACATCTGGAGGAAGGGATGTACGTTTGGCCCACAGTCTGAGAGAGTGCATTCAGAGACCCTGGGCCTCGGAAGGCAATGGGCTGCCAGAAATATTTCAAGAAGCCGGGTCCCAGGGGAGAGAATAGAGTCCTGGGCAGCCCAGGAGTCTGAGATGAAATGGGGATGAGGCAGGAGTCTGCCAGGGCCGCTGGGAGGTGATAGGGGGGCGGTGAGACCATGGGGACCTGGGTACCTCAGAGGAAGAGATGAGGAGCTAGAACCCTGGGCAGGAAGAGAGCAGATCCGGGGACCTGGACTCCTGAATCTTTGTGGAGGGAGGTAAAGGACAGGGGTTTGGGGGGAGGGCTGAGGCAGGCTGGTGACCAGTACAGAAGCTGGGATCTGAACGCCTGGGTCCCTGAGGGGGTGCAGGGCTGGGGACAAGGCATCTCGTCTCCAGGGGCGGGTGTGGGTGTGGGGAGGCAGATGCCAAAGTATAGCATTAACAATTGCATTCGGAGTCCCCAGAAGGGAGAGTCATGGCGCCTGAATCCCTAAGGGGGCAGATGCCGGGGTCCTAGGAGCCCGGGGACATATTTGCCTGGAGAGCGCAGGGGCCGTTGAACTGGGTGTCTCAGGGACAAAGGCTGGGAACCCTGGTCCCCGGATGCCCATTCCCCTAAGGGAGCTAGGGCAGGAACCTTCCGAAGCCTTGACTCCTGAAGAAGGTGCTGGGGTCCCGGAAATCTAAGGGTGCTGAGGCCCGGGCCCAGCGCCTGGTCAGCGGAACCCCGAGTCCCGGGCATCCAGGGTCGGGAAGGGCCCGGGTATCCCCGGGTCAAAGGCGCGGCAGGGGGGATCCCCGCGCCGGAGGCGCCCCCTTTCTGGCGGTGGCAGCAGGAGGTGGGGGAGGCGAGGCTGCCGAGCGCGCTGACCGACCATGGACAGCTCCGGCGCGGGCCTGTGTCCAGGGCGGCCGCGGGGCGGCCTGGACGGAGGGACGCGGCCGGCCGGCGGCTGGAACCCAGGAGCTGGAGACGGGCAGACGGGGGGCGCGAAGGGAGCGCTCTGCGGCCGCGGCGGGGACGGGCGGCCCTCGCCGGGGGAGGGGGACACAACCGCGGCGGGGGTCCGGGGCTCTCCGGTCTGGGCCGAGGAGGAGGAGGAGGAGGAGGAGGATCTAGACCCAGAGGGGTTCCCGGGTGGAACCGGAACCCAGGCTCCTGGGCCCCGGAGGAGGCGCGAGGCGGCAGGATGCCCGGGAGTCTGGGGCTTGGCTGGGGACTCTGGGAGCCGGGAGGGGCGCACTGACTCTCCGGGGCCGGGCTGTGAAATCTGGGCGCCGGGGTCCCTGGGGATGGAGAAGGGAATCCGGGACCTCGCAGAGGCGGGGAAAGCCGGGCGAGGGGTCCCTTGGGTGGGCGCTGCCTGGCAGGCCGGGCTCTCACCTACCTGGTCCGCGGCGGCTGCGGGCGGAGCTGGGCTGCAGGAGGGAGCTGGGGTGGGGTGGGGGGGCCGGGCGGGGCCCCTGGCGGCTGCCGGGGCCCGGATCTGTAGCTCTGGAACCCTGTCTCCGCCGCTCGCGCGGGCTCCGCGTCTCTCGCTCCGGCTTGGGCGCTGGGGACCCCACTCACTCGCACAGTCTCACAGCCCTTCACCCCCTAAAACAGTCCCCCTAACCCTGTCACCGTGCAGCCTCCCCCCCACGGGGCCGCAGCCGCCAGATTCAGGGGTGCCCACCAGCGCCCCCCAAAATCCCACCTTCCCCCCCCAAAATTCCCTCTTCCCTCCCCCCCAACAGCTCCCGGGCGGTCGTGGCCCCTTTAACAGGAGACTGACAGACGGCTCCGAGTGGCCAATGGGAAGCAGCATCGGCGCCGGCAGGAGGCTAAACCCCGCCCCCGCACGGGCCGGGAGGGGTCGCGCGGGCGGAGAGCGGGAGGCGGGGCTCCAGGCATGCCAGCCAATGGGCGCGCGGCGTGCGGCAGCTGGGGCGGGGGGCGGGGCCCGGCAGGGGGATGATGTCACCCGGAGCGAGTGGCGTGCGGCGTGGAACGCGAGTCGCGACCCCGGATCCCGGCGGCGGCGGCGGCGGCGGCGCGCGCCGGCCCTCGCGCCGCACGAGACCGGAGGGGTGGGCGGGCGGCGAGGCGGGAGGGAAGGTTGTGTGTTAAGGCGGGGGGGGGGGGGACTCCCGGGGACGCGTTTGGGCTTCAGGGCGGGGTGAACGCCGGGTCGGCGGGTGCACCTGACGGTGCAATCCCTGCGCCCGCCGCGCCCGCCGCGGGAGCGGCACGCGGCACCCCCACCCGCCTCCCACGCTGGGCTCCCCCGCGGGCAGGGTAATGGTTCGCTCCGCCCCGCCCACACGGAGGACACCCACTGGCTCCCCGCGGCGTTTCGGCACTCGTGGGGAGGACCAGCTGCAGAGGGGTTTGGCCTGCATCCTCAGTCTCTCCGGGGGGGGGGGGGGGCGCGTTGTCTTCACGTCTGAGCTCCCCCTCAGACCCAGTCTGGGTCCCAGCCTCCACCCCGGGACTGGTTCGTCCCTTCGGAAGCTGTCCAGCTTCTACCTTCAGACCTAGAGGGCGTGGTGGGGACATTCTGTACCTGGGCTTCCTCAGGGCCTGGTCTCGGCATCAGCTTCTTCCCCCCCCCCCCCCCACCTCTCCATACCCTCTGTGACCCCGCGATGCAGGACAGACACACAAACACTCAGTGAGGGCAAAGATCTTTAAATAAGGAGCGGGTGACAATAAATACTGTACAGGGGGAGGGGGTGGGGGAGAGAGCGGGAGGGTCCAGATCTGTGCTTTCAGCCTCAGGACTCCAAGGACCTGCAAGGAGGGCGAAGAGAAGGGAGCCAGGCTCAGGGTCAGGGGGCCCGGGGAGGGGTGGGCCAGAGCCAGGGCTGGGGTTCCAGAACCAGGGCTGAGGGTAGTGGGGTGAGGAATTCCAGGGGGAGGAGGAGGTCCAGTCAGCTAAGAGCCCCCCAGGGTGTTAGCCAGAATGGCTTGGGGTCAGAGTCAGGGTCCCTGGAGGGGACCCATGGCTGGGGGGTGGCCACCAAGACGTCAGGAACCCCCGGGAGTCCGGGGACGAGGGCGGCCGTGGAGACAGACCCGGGGAGCGGCGGCGGAGGGCTCACGAGTAGCTCTGGTGCTGCTGGCGCCGGCGGGCGGAGCGCATCTTCTCGAAGCGGGCCTCCATCTCCTCCAGCACGCGGGGCGTGTAGCGCACCACCAGCTTCACCGAGCCCTGGGCCGCCTTCAGCAGCTCCACCGCCTTCTCGTGCTGCTCCCCCTCCACGCTCTGCGGAAAGCGCGCGGAAAGCGCACGGACAGCTGGGCGTGCCCCCTCCCCCCCCACGCTCATCCAACCCCGCACCCCGAAACAGGTCCCTGAGGGGCCCAGACCTCATCGCTTCGTGGGAGAGTCATTCACTCTTGGCTCCGTGTCCTCCCTCCCCCCCAACATTTTCCAGGTTCCTCGCGTCAGGGACAAGCCCCCTGGGCCCTCAGTCACCAAGCCAGACCTCCAGGGCCATCTTTATCCCCTCCCTCCCCACAGACCTGCTAGCAGAGCATCTGTCTGCGGACTGAAGGGTCCCAGGTTCAATTCTGGTCAGGGGCATGTGCCTTGGTTGCGGGCACATCCCCAAGTAGGGAGTGTGCAGGAGGCAGCTGATTGATGATTGTCTCTCATGGATGTTTCTAACTCTCTATCCCTCTCCCTTCCTCTCTGTAAAAAATCAATTAAAAATATATATTTTTTTTTTAAAAAAAAAACAAGGACAGACTTTGACCCTAGCCCTGTCCCAGCCTCCCACTCACCACACCATTCACCGACAACAGCTGGTCCCCACGCTTGAGGCCTCCGTGGCGGTCGGCCACGCCCCCAGGGATGACGCGGGAGATGTAGATGGGCGAGTTCTGTTCCTTGCCCCCCATGATGTTGAAGCCCAGGCCCTCCTCCGTCTTGGGCAGCTCCACCACCCTGGGGTGTGCATGGCCCTCGCTGGCGGTGAAGGCAGCTACGGTGGCCTGGGAGACGGGAAGCAGGGGGAGGTGAGGGCCCTTCCATGGGGGACAGGCGGACTAGGGTGGAAGATCTGGGCCAGGGAGAGCGACTGAGGCCAGATAGCTTTTCCCCAGTTCGAGGTGCCTGCCGGCCACAGTTCAAAAAGCTCATTTCATAAAGACCGCATGTCCCTGTTGGCTCACTTTGACGGTTCAGACCTGTCAAAGAGAAGGTCTCCATTTGGTGCGAATGTGTCTTGAATACTCAACACTTGCCAATCTCACCTTTTAACAGAGAAAATTGAGGCCTGGAAGAAGCCGAGAGCCTCCAGGGAGCAGCAAGAACGGCATCTAACTCTGATTTCATCACATCTCAGTGTTTATGATATTTCATTGTTTTCACTGGGTCGGTGTTTAAGGTCACCTTCTAGTCAGGCATTCTGTACTAGTTTCACTAATAAATTGTAGTAGATAAAGATGCCCTTCATGACATTTATGAGAGATCACTGAAAATAAACTATAGTAGGTAATCGTAAGGGTGGTACAGAGGTTTGGCAAATACCATGAAGGAGAAACCAGGAATGAATGACAGGAGGAAGTTTCGAGATGCTGTGAGCGATGGGTGGAGGGCGCCTACCTTGGCTGTGGCGTGGGCCCGGATCTCGGCGCTGCCGGTGATGTCCAGCGTATCATAGAGCTGCTCGTACACCTGTGAGGATGCACAGCATCGGGGACCTGCCGGCTCCCTCCTCTCCCCAGCGCTGGAGTCCAGGCCCGGCCTCTCCCACCCATGAACTGTCCCAGCCCACACCTGGAGCGGGAGAAAACTACAACTCCCAATCCACCCTGGGAGCTGACGCACGCGCACTCACGAGGCTGGCCGCCCCGGGCGTTGCTGGGAGATGTAGTCCCCGGCCTCGGGGCGACCAGGAAGAGCATTGCCAGCCGCCGCCCACTCGTGGCCGGCGCCGCGCGGCGCTCACCTCGCGGATGGCGGAGCAGAAGCGGCTCTGCAGGACGCGCTGGAGGGCCTGCAGCTTCTGCGGGGGCAGCTCCCCGCTGCGCTGCAGCCGCTCGAGGAGCTCCACCGCCCGGGACACGTCTGCGGGGCGGGGGCGGGCGCGGAGACAGAGTCAGAGTCACCGACGCGCAGAGAGAAGTCCCGGGAGATGCGGTCGGAGACCGAGGACGGGGCAGCGCGGACGGACCCGGGAAGGGCGGCGGGGTCCCGATCGGACGCCCACAGGGTCGCCAGCGGCAAGGGCGCCCTTCGCCCCCGGGGCCCCCATGCACACCCCGGAGGGGGTGCAGCGGGCGCCCCTCCCCGCCCGCTCGCCCACGGACCCTCCCACACCCACTAACCGCCCCGCCCCGCCCGGCCCTGGCCGGGGGAGGGGCGACGGCGGGGGTCCCGGACGCGGGCCACGGCCGGGTGGGCAGGGCCCCCCTGGCGCGCTTACCCCGCTCCAGCCCCAGCGGCTCCACCAGCGCAGCCATGTCGGCGCCGCTGCGGCGAGCCGCCCGCCCGCCCGGTCGCCAGCGGGGAGGGCGGGGCTTCCGGAGGCCACGCCCCCGGCGACGGGCGCCCCCTGCGGAGGCGCGGCCCTGCCTGCTCCCGCGCCTGCCTGCCTGTCCCTAGTGCAGCCTGTCTGCACCCCGGGACATCATCTCTGTCTGTCCTGCCCCCACACGTGTACCCTCTCTGTCCCTTTTCCCCACGTATTGGGCAAACGTGTGCTAAACATCTGGGCCCAGGATGGTGAGCAGGCCAGACGAGCCCACTGCCTTCACGAAGCTTAGGCGAGGATGGAGAGGTAGACGACCAGCTGTGACCGAGATCAGAATTGGGTGTGGGGAAGGGATGAGTCCTTGGAGGTAAGAGAATCCAGAGGAGGGATGTGGTCACTTTCCAGGCAAGAGGAGCCCATGCAATCATTCCAGCTTGTGATGCTGACCATGTGGGCAGGATGGTTATACATGTTGAGGGTTTTGAACTTAGTAACTCTGAAGAATGAAATGTGGGATTCAGGTGTGTATGGGAAGATCACTGTGGCCGTTGTGTGGCGATTGGATTAGACCAGGCAGGCGCTTTCCGGATATCCCCTTTAGGTGGGCCGATTTGGAAATGTCTGGACAATGTCCCTCTTCCTGTCCTCGTATACAGTGACTTACTGAGTCACTGTATACGAGGACAGGAAGATGGAGGAGGGGATATAAAGGTGTTTGTGGGGCCCTAGCCAGTTTGGCTCAGTGGATAGAGCGTCAGCCTGCGAACTGAAAAGTCCCAGGTTCGATTCCGGTCAAGGGCATGTACCTTGGTTGTGGGCACATCCCCAGTGGGGGGCATGCAGGAGGCAGCTGGTCGATGTCTCTCTCTCATCCATGTTTCTAACTCTCTATCCCTTTCCCTTCCTCTCTGTGAAAAGTCAATAGCCTAAACCGGTTTCGCTCAATGGATAGAGCTTCGGCTTGGGGACTGAAAGGTCCCGGGTTCGATTCTGGTCAAGGGCATGTACCTTGGTTGCAGGCATATCCCCAGTAGGGGGTGTGCAAGAGGCAGCTGATCGATGACTCTCTCTCTTTGATATTTCTCTCTCTCTTCCTCTCAAAATATATCTTTGGGGGAAAAAAAAAAAGAGGGTGGGCAGTCGTATGAGATGCTGTAGACTAGGGCCAAAGGACTGTAGGAAGGATTGAAGTGTGGCTGTACCTCACCTCTGGCTGGATGGGGGTACGGGGTCCAGAAAGAGCTTTTGCAAAGTCAGAGGAAGTTTGCAAGTTTGTCTACACGTCTCTCCTTCATAGTGTCTCTTTTTCTATTTTAATAAGTAATCTACTTGAATTTAAAAACAAAATCAAGTTACCAAAGAACCTATATGCATATATGTATAGCCCATGGACACAGACAAAAGTAAGGTGAAGGTCTGGGGTGGGTGGGGACATGGGGAGAAAATAGGGGACATCTGTAATACTGTCAACAATGAAAAATAAACTTAAAAAATAAATAATACAGAAGAGCTAATAATACAAACCACCAACCAGTCCTCTCTCCACTGCAAGAGGCAACAATTTAAAGGGGTTTAATGTGCTAGTTGCTTCTGTATCTAAGTAACTTGCTATTTCTCAATTCCAGTTGTTAGTAATATATTACATATTGATTTTCTGCCTTTACAACCTGTTCCCTCTCTTCCCATGGTACCAGTTTTCAGATCAATCAATCAAAGAGCTTGCATTATGTCAATAAGTACTTATTGTTTACTGCAGAGCCCAAGTAATGTTCTGTGACTACATTTTCTTTCTTGAACAGCTTGGATTTTTGTTTGTTACTCCTCACCCGAAGATATTTTTTCCACTGATATTTGAGACAGTGGGAAGGGGAGGTACAGAGAAACACTGATGTGAGAGAAACATCAATTGGTTGCCTCCCACAAGTGCCCTGACCAGGGCCAGGGATCGAGCCTGCAATCAAGGTACGTGCCCTTGACCATGATCAAACCCGGGACCCTTCAGTCTGTGGGCCGACACTGAGTACAACCAGCTATGGCTTGTGTGGTGGTGTTTTTTCCCTGTGATTTTCATCTCCTTTCGTTTCTTCCACTACATTCTCAATTTCTTTACAACTTTCCATCGCAACAGGCATCTTACCGAGTTTTCTTTTTAGCCGGAAACTCCTTGGAAACTTCAGTCCTCTGACCCCAATCTGGACGGGGTGCTCTCCACAAAACTGTCATCCTGGGACTTTCTCAACTGGTTTTTTGAACTGGGTCATCTTCTCTTTTAACTCTTTTTCTTTTTTTTAAAATATATTTTTATTGCCTTCAGAGAGGAAGGGAGAGGTACAGAAACATCAATAATGAATGAGAATCATTGATTGGCTGCCTCCTGCACGCCCCCTACTGGGGATTGAGCCTGGAAACCGGGGCATGGGCCCCAACAGGGAACTGAACTGTGACCTCCTAGTTCATAGGTCCATGGTCAACCACTGAACTACGCTGGCTGGGCTAAATCTCTCATTTTTAAGTATACTCTTTATTAACTATCTAAAAAGATTATGAGCCGAAACCGGTTTGGCTCAGTGGTAGAGCGTCGGTCTGAGGACTGAAAGGTCCCAGGTTCGATTCCGGTCAGGGGCATGTACATTGGTTGCGGGCACATTCCCAGTATGGGGTGTGCGGGAGGCGGCTGGTCGATGTCTCTCTCTCATCGACGTTTCTAGCTCTCTCTCTCCCTTCCTCTCTGTGAAAAATCAATAAAATATATTTTAAAAAATTGAGATTTCTTACTTCCAGCTAACCTTTATTCCTCTAGCACTCCTTGTGTTAACAGGAATGTGTCAGGAAGGTTGTCTCAATTCTTTCAGGTGTTTTCCAGTTCTAAAATTTACATTTTACTTTTTTCTTTTTTTTCTTTTTTTTTTTTTTTAAAGATTCCTGAACTGGTAAAATTCTCCCTCTCTTCCTTGTGAACATATAGTTATTTCAATCTCTGATAACTCCCAACATCAGAATCATGCCCAGATCTGTTTCTATTGTCTATTTTTTCTCTTGGTTTTACAGTAATTCTAACATGCCTGATAACGTGAGTAAATGCTGAGCATTGTGTACTGAAAATTGGAGATTCTGACCCCACCTCCCAGAGGGTTTTCTCCTGGCAGGCAGATCACCTAAATCCCAATAAGGCCTATTTCACTTGCAGCCTTACTTCAATATTGTGGCACTCTGGGGACAAGAACAGTTACTCGCTCTGGCAGGCCTAGAACCCCAACCTCTGTCCCCCAGAGTGACATGGCTGCAGAGATCTCTGCTTAGCTCCGTAACCTCACCCAGGATACTGTTCCATTGATTTTTAGAGTGTGAGGGGGAGAGACAGAAACATTGACATTAGACACATCAACTGGTTTCCTCTCACACACACCATAGCTAGGGCTGCAGACTAAGCCTGCTACAGAGGCACATGCCTTTGACCAGAATCAAATCTGGGACCTTTCCGTCTGCAAGGCCCTTCAGTCCACTAAGACAAACTGGCTAGGGCCCTCCATTATTGCTTTCTGATGAACACCTCGAGTCTTGCAACGACAATGAGCAGCTTATGAGTTGGCAACTGCCTCAACAGAAGGTTGTATGCAGATTTGGGAGCTAACGCCTCACATGGAAATTTTACCCTTACACCCCACCTGTCTGGTCCAACCTCTGTAAACTCAGCCCAATGTCTAGTCCCCCATATAAACTGGCAAATGTCAAGGAAAAGGACGGGAAAATAGGAAGTTTCACCAGTGTGCTTCCCTTTTCCTGGGGATCCGACTGCCTCAAGTCTCACCGGCATTGGTGGCCCCCCCAATACTTTTCACAAGTTGTTTTTATATATTTCGTCCAGCCTTTATAACTGGTCTGTGCCAAACTAGTCCAGAATGGGCTATTCTTCACAGCCAATTCCCAAAGTCTAGTCGCATCCTATGTGGTATCTATGAAAATACACTCATTAGACGTATTTAGTTCTCTTTTATTCCCAAAGTTGTCTCTCCTGGGACCAGTTTTTCTTATCTCGTGGTCTCTTGTTGCAGGATTTTTTTATATGCCTGTGATCTCTGGGTGTATGTTTATAGAGGCCGAAGCAGTTAGAAAGCATGTCGGTCAGACGTAGCGGACAGGCTGCCTCTGGGTTCTCAGGCCAAGCTTGTAGGTCCTAGTTCGTATACCCTGGGCAGCAAATGCCAAGCTTCCGTGCATCTCGGGTGCTGAAACAAGCACTGCTGTATGCAAATGCCACCTTGTCTCCTCCCCTTCTCCGAGCTGAGTCTCTCTAGTCCAGGAAGAATGACTGGCTTGCCCTGGCCAGTTTGGCTCAGTGGATGGAGCATTGGCCTATGGACTGAAAGGTCCCAGGTTTGATTCCGGTCGTGGGCATGTATCTTGGTTTCAGGCACATCCCCAGTAGCAGCTGATTGATGTTTCTTTCTCATTCATGTTTCTAATTCTATCCCTCTCCCTTCCTCTCTGTAAAAAATCAATAAAATAAAAAAAAAAATTAAAAAAAAAAAAAAAAAAAAGGCTGGATTCTTTCTCATGGGATCACCAGACAAGGATTCTCTTCATCATCTTATTTCATTTTTTATCCAGAAATGTGTTGAAATCTCAACTGCTGTGATATGTGTTTCTTGTTGTCATTAGTAGCAAGACAAACAGTGGAATGACCTGAAGGCCATTTTCCATCCTGGCCGTGTGGGCTTCTGCTCCACCTAATCTCCTTGTGTCTTGCTCTCGTTTCATCCCTTCACCTTTTTCCTGCTCTCCAATTCATATAAGAGCTTCCCTTTTACAGAGGCACTGAGGAATCAAATGCTTAGGACCCACTGCTTCCCCCCAAGCCAGGGCTATGTGTGGAAGAGGCTTTAAAAAAAGAGGGAGACACACAAAGGGATCAAAGACATACGGAGGGCTTCCGCACCCCATTTGAAACAGCTCTGGTCATGTGCTGGGATATCCCCAGCCTTAGCTCATAAAGTTCAAGTTCCAGGCATGTGCTGGACCACACACCAAAGTAGGGTTAATATGTCAAGTGACATCCTTTTAGGGAAGACATAAGTGAAGAAACCAGGGTGCCCATTAACAGGAAATTAATTTTATTTTTAAATCCAGAACAAATAAGGAGACTTCTACCCATGGATGGCAAACTTAGATGGTGGCCAAGGTTGGGGGAAGAGGATGACAGCAACAGGGGGGTAGGAACACGTCCAAACAGAGGAGGCCTCTTCACTCTGGCGCAGCCTCCATCAAATACCCGTTCTCCGGAGCAAGATACCCGTCGCCTCCCTCGGACTCCATGTACATGTCTCGGCCGTCATTGCCCAGACCCTCCAGCCCGTTGTCCTGGCCGCCCCCGCCCCCACCTCGGGCCTCATCCCTGCCCCGCTCACTGCCTCGCTCCCCCCGCTTGTGCTCGCGATCCCGGTCCCGGTCTCGGTCCCGGCGTCGATCCCGCTCACTCCGGTGGCTCCGGCGTCGCTCCCGGTCACGATCCCGGCCCTTCTCCTCGGGACCGTCAGGGCCGTCGGGACCCAGCTCCCCGGGAGGCCCGTCATCGGGAGGCGCATCGCCAGCCTCGGAGGGCTCCGCCATGTCGCCGCCGCCTCCGCCACCGCGCAGCTCCTCCTTGCGCTCCCGCTCGCGCCGCGCCCGCTCACGGCTCCGGCTGCTCCGCCGCTTCCGTTCCCGGTCCTTGTCCTTGCTCCGCTCCCGGGAGCGCCTCCGCTCATCCTTGTCGCGGCTGCGAGAGCGCCGCCGCCGGTCCCGAGAGCGGGAGCGCCGCCGTTCCCGCTCCTTGTCACGCTCGCGGCTCCGCTCCCTGCGCTCCCGCTCGCGGTCGCGGTCCCGATCCCGGTGGGGAAGCGGGGACGGGCCGGGCCTGGAGGAGGGAGAGGTGTGTGTCGGCGCCCCCGCAGCCACCCCCTCCCGGGAAGCCACCTGCCCAACCTCACCTCTCGTCGTAGCGGGAGGTGTCGTCGCGGCCAGAATGCCGGATGTTCACGTCAGCCCCGCCTCTCCTGGTCCCACCGAGGCCGCCTCCTGGAGGTGGGCAGAGGGACAGGGTCAGCCTGGGCACGGAGATGGGCAAGGATCGGAAACAGGACTTACGCCGTCGCTGTTGGTGTCTATGGGCCAGGTCCCGAGGACACTTTGCTAGGCGTTCCCTTCGAGGGGCCAAGAGCAAGGAGAACTGAGCGCGGCAGAGGTCATGCCAGCCTCAGCCCTCCAACCACCAAAACCACATCAAAACCACAGCTAAACACACAGCCACCATCATTTGGAACCCCGGAAAGTGGTTGGATGGCAGTCCTGCAGCTAGAGAAGTAAAGAAAGTACAAGACTGGTAGGAGGGCAGGGTCCCGGAGCGGGAGAAGTCCCCATAACTTCTGACTGAAAAAGCCAGCAGCTATTGTGGCTAAGTGACACAGAAGCTGCTAGAGACCCAGGTGTTCCTCTTAAAGGGCCAGCACACAAACTTATTCGAAAGCGATCTCTCTGAGACCCAGCTCCAGGCGGCTTTGGGGGAGGAACTAGATTATCTGCCACCACCGCAGGGGGTGGCCCCAGGGGTCCCTGTTCATGTGCTGGGACCTCCCCATTGCCGAGCTGGCCGGCAGCCACACCCGAGTTCGCATCAGCCTGGTTCACACTGTCCCCAATGCCCTCGGGATCTCCTGAGACCCCGCCAATCCAATCTGCAGCCCCACCAAAGCTGCTTGGGGGTGCAGCTGCTTTTCCGTATGAATGGTCTGTCTGGGCTCAGGCTCCAAACTCTGAAACAAGCCGCTGGCATCAGCAGGCCCCGAACCTATCAGCGGAAGGCCTCACTAGGCACTTCACGAGCCCAAAGTAAGTGGCAGCCATCCTCGGACCTCTCTGTGGCTCCTGCTGGATGGCCCCGGCATGGCTGACTGCCCTTCCAGGAGGCCCCGCAGCAAATGCACAGCGGACAGCTTCAGACACACGAGATCACATCTCTGCAAATCCACAGCGACACAACAACTCAGTGAGCGCCAGAGCCCCACTGAGGCCAGTCCTGTTCCATCCGGGTGTCTCCTGCACACCTGCTCTTCCACTGTAGAAGCAGCTGGTCCTCACGACCAATTGGCCCAGAGCTCAATTCCTCCCATGATGCCAACAGCGATCCTAACACACAGACTACACAGGGGCACACCGAGAGGGCCCAGCTCAGGTGGCCGGAAAGGCTGAGCCACCGGGTCTACAGCACGCTACCCCACAAGGCCTCTCTACCGATTCCAGGAGACATAGCGGCTCTACATGATACTCAGAAACAAACACAGGGAAGCATCCAAACTGCAGACAAAGAAACTGCCACAAACGAAATGAATGGAAGCGAGCAAATTACTGGATATTGAGTTAAAAACCATGGTTATAAAGTTACTCAGGGATCGTCATGAGACTTTCAAAATGCTTAATGAGAAAGTCAAAACATGAAAAAGAACCAGTCAGCAATTAAGCACACACTAACTGAAATAAAGAATAATTTACAGAGATTCAACAGAAGAGATTCCAAGAATCAAACCAACAATTAATTTGGAATATGAGGCACACCCAATTAGAATAGCAAAAAGAAAAAGAAACCAAAAACATGAAGATAGTGTAATGAGCCTCTGGGACAACTTTAAGTGTACCAATACTCACATGATGAGGTGCCAGAAGAGCGAGAGCAACATATTGAAAACCTATTTGAAGAAATAGTAACAGCACTGACCTATGAACCAGGAGGTCAGGGCACATGCCTGAGTTGCAGGCTTGATCCCCAGGAGGCGGCATGCAGGGACATCAAATCAATGATTCTCTTTCATCATTGATGTTTCTACCTTTCCTTCCCCCTCCCTTACTCTCTGAAATCTATAAAAATGTATTTAAAAAAATAATAACATAAGACTTCCCCTGGTCAAAGAAACAGACTTACAAGCATGAAGAGTCCCAAGTAAGAGGAACCCAAAGAGGCCTACACCAAGACACATATCGGGTCTAGTAATAAGTAATGTCGTTTTAACATTCGTTTAAAATCTTGCTTGGTGTTGACTTGTATTGACATAACCTTCAAACACGTGGTATCTACAGAACGTGTGAAGTGCAATTAACAAGTTTTGCTTGAAAAAGTTTGTGTTTGGTTTGGTTTTTGTTGCAAAACTAGGGCTAAGAAGATGGCGGATGAAGAGCATATTCGGCACTGCATGCTTTACGAGTTCCAATTAGGAAGAAAAGCAAGTGAGGCTGCAAAAAACATCTGTAGTGCTCTTGGTCAAGATGCAGTTAGCGCCAGAAAATGCCAGCGTTGGTTTGAGAAATTTCGCGAGGGAAATTTTTCGTTAGATGACGAGAGTGGTCGAGGCCGTGTGTCCAATTTTGATCAAGAAGCTCTTCAAGCTCTTTTGGTCCAAAATCCTCAAATTACCCAGCAAGAGCTTGCGACAACTTTAAGTTGTTCACAAAAAACAATTTCCAATCAATTGCATGCACTTGGCAAAGTCCAAAAGTTTGGAAAATGGGTTCCTCATGAGTTGACCGACAACAACCGTAATCAAAGAGTCACAATTTGCAGTTCGCTCCTCTCTCGTCAAAACCGTTTGCCGTTTTTAGAGCAAATTGTTACCGGAGATGAAAAATGGGTGCTGTATGTTAATTTGAAAAGGCGGCCTCAATGGTTGGACAAAAATGAGGCTCCGCAGCCCGCGCCAAAACCTGACTTGCATGCGAAAAAAGTGATGTTGTGTGTTTGGTGGAATTTTAAAGGAATTCTTCATTATGAACTTTTACCATCTAACCAAACCATTACAAGTGCAGTGTATAGTGCCCAATTGGAAAGGTTAGCCCAAGCTTTAAGAGAAAAAGAACCCCCGCTGATTAATCGGAAGGGCGTAATTCTTCACCACGATAACGCACGACCGCATACTGCAAGAATCACTGCTGAAAAACTGCGCCAGTTGGAATGGGAAGTTCTCCCTCAACCTGCAAATTCTCCTGATATTGCCCCTTCCGATTACCATTTGTTTCGTTCTTTGCAAAACTTTCTTCTTGGAAAAAAATTTAATAATGAAGAATGCCTCAAAAATGAATTGACCGAATTTTTTGCATCAAAATCACAAGAATTTTACAACAGAGGGATAAAAATGCTTCCTGAGCGTTGGGCACAAGTAGTAGACAACAACGGCAACTATATTGTTGATTAAATTTTGTTGTATTGTTTAAATTCGATTTAAAGAAGTATTAGAAAACGACATTAATTATTACTAGACCCGATACATGCCCTTGTCCGGAATCAAACCTGGGACCTTTCAGTCCACAGACTGATTCTCCACCACTGAGCCAAACCAGTTTTGGCTCACATCATCAATTTGATGGGTTACAACCAATACATACAATCATAAATACACACATACACAAAACAGACTATAGTATAAAGTATTAATTAGTATGCACTGCATACAGAAAAGATAATTACTTCATAAAATTTGGGTTGTATGCATTTCTAAAAATATATATTCTTACTATTTCAGATATGGAGAGGGAAAGATAGAAACATCAATGATAAGGGAGAATCGTTTATTGGCTGTCACCTGCACGTTCTACACCGGGGATCAAGTCTGCAACATGGGCATGTGCTCTGACCAGGAATCTAACCATGACCTGGTTCATAAGTCAGCACTCAATCACTGAGCTTCCCTTGCTGGGCAGGTTTTATACATATGTAAACATACATTTACATATGTATTCTGGGTCAGGATATACCAGGTGTCACCATCTGTCCCACCCCCTCCCCTCTTCCCTCTGAATGCCAACCAAACGAAAAGATTCTGGATTCCACAACAGAAAGTATCAGACTGAAGAATCCACTGCACCCAGAGAAACCAGAGAGCAGGTAAGACCCTGTTCAGTCTACCAAGTTCAAAGACTCAGCAGATGAGTGGTCTACCCAGCACAGGCAAGTCAAGAGTGAGGACAGCAGACTGGGAGGCAGGAATAAGCAGAGGGTAGCCCTAGCTGATTTGGCTCATGGATAGAGCGTCAGCCTGCGGAATGAGGGGTCTCAGGTTCGATTCTGGCCAAGGGCACATGCCCGGGTTGCAGGCTCAATCCCCAGGAGGGGGTGTGCAGGAGGCAGCCAATGATTCTCTCATCATTGTTTCCTTCTCTGTCTCCCTCTCCCTTTCTCTCTAAAATCAATAATATATATGTTTAAAAAGAGCAGAGGGTATTGGACCCACTTGGGGTGTCTACCCAGGAAAGGCCATCTCCTCTGAGAGCTGTCACTCACTCTCACAGGAGTCAACACGCTTAACAGACAATGCTGAGCCAATCAGAGCCACGTACCCCTAAGTGCATCAATTCATTCAGGACTGGGTGTAGAGCAGGGAGCTGTGGAATGCCACAGTAGGCCAGTGTGGGGAGACACAGAAAAGACAGGTCTGCATGGACAGCGAACAAAGCGGAAGCCAGCTGCACAGATGCCAGAGGTAGTTCTTTCCAGTTTTAAGGTGTGACTGCCAAGGCCACTGGCGTCACATGTCTCTGGGCTCCAAAAGATCCTCAGGATTCCATACTGACAGGCCCCTTCAAATAGACTTCTGATAACTGCAAACCAACTGACCTTGGCTGAGAGTGTGAATGACAATTAGAAACAGACAATGAGGGGGACCGAATATAGGAAGCTGTGAGAGCAGGAGCTGTCTATGCATGTCTTGCTCTTGACTAGAGAAGCCTGGTACACAGCTGGCGATCAAATAAGCATGTGCTGAACCAATGAATGGATGAGCAAGAGCAGAGAGCGAGTGGATGAGATGATGACATTTACAAGGCCCACCATATGCCACTTGTCAAACTGGGCATGTGAACTCTGAGATTATTAGCATTTCCCAGGATGAGAAAAGAGCCACCAGCTAATAAGTACAAACTGGCATATGGTCCCAGACTCGCCTCTCCAGGCCAGTACCCCTGTTCCTACTCAGTAACCCAGAAAGAGAACACCAGCAATATGAGGGTGATAAGAGGATGAAGTGGAGAGGGAGGAGGATGTGAGCAGCCTCAGGGGTACAAGGAGAGGACGGGAAGACAGGAAGCAGAAGAGGGGACAGAAGAAAAAGAAGAGAACGAAGCTGCCAAGCACACAACCTCCAGAGCCCAGCACGGGCAAAGTGCTCACCCAGCCTCCGGGGCCGCCAGCCCTTCACGGTCCGGCCCCTCTCCACATCCACTAGGACTCTCCTGCCATCAATCTTCTTGCCGTCTGCGTGCTTGTAAGCGGCTGCAACAGATGTGGGGAGGGGGAGGGGAGGAGTCCCCAGAGGGTCCTCTAGTCAGGATAGGGCCCAGCCAGGCAGCATCCCCATCCGTCCCCATCAAGGCACTCACACTCTCACACACGCCCACCAGCCAGCCAGGCAACTGACAGCCAGACCAACCCTCTCCCCAGTCAGGGAGGGGCCTGCTCCATCTCACATCGGCTTCCTTATCACCCCCCAATCACATTGGGGGGGCAAGACCCCCCTCAACCGCCATCCCCCGGGCTTCCACGCCCTTTCTACTCCCAAATGACAGAGCAGCCCCCTCTCGCCAAGGTGGCCAAAGTCGCTGCAAAGAAACCGAAGGTTAACTTCAGGCCGGACTCCGCCGTGTGGAGGCGCCTCCACGCCCCCAGGCATGCACCCTAACACATCATGCCGGGAGGCCGAGGCCGCTCTGCACCCCGTTCACACCCGTTTTCGGTTTTGTTTTTATTTTTCGTGTGGAGGGGTGGTGAGTGTGGAGGGAACAGACATCAGAACAGAGAATGAACCAGAGGGATGGGAGAAATCTTTAGATGGCAGGAGCAGAAGCGCAGGTTACGATGCTCCCAGGGGCCTGGGGGCCTGGAGGGGCCCGTACAGCAGGCAGGGGGGGAGAGTGGAGGGAGGCAGGGGAGACGTGCGGTGCTACTGAACATTCCTGCCTTACCTGAGACGACTGATCTGCCACCCACCCCCAGGCCCACCCCATCTCTCCCTCCACACCGCAGGGCCACACGCTGGGTAGGCACCCAGCCTGGGCCTCCAAAGGGTGGGAGTGGAGGGGGAGAGCACGGAGGCTGATCCCGCTCCTGGGCAGGGCACAGCAAAGGGCAGGCCTGGTGCCCCGGCCTGTCTCACACAGGGCTGTAGGGAAGCCAAAAAAGTTCCACCCCCAGCCCTGGCCTAGGGGGTCACCTCAACCAACCACAATACCCTGCCCCGCCCCAGCCCGCTCCCCCCCAATAACAACCAGAGGAAGAGAAAAAGGTGCCATTTACCGATGCCGGCCTTGCGGGTGTCCAAACCGAGCGGGATGGGGGGGGCCCGGCAACTCCTGGGGGCCTGGCGTGAAGGCGGGCTTCCCGGGGGGGGACACGGGACCGCTTACCTGGAGCCCCCAAGCTTACCTGAGCAAGCGCACCGACCCCACCCCCACCCCCACAGGGTCAGCTAAAGCTACAGGGCAAGGAAATGGGGGGTTCAGGGGAACCACGGAGAGGGAGAACCACATCTCCTGCACCACCTGGCAACAGGCAGAGAAGTGGTGGACCCCAAAAAACCTTAGGGAGGCCTCGAAAGAGGGACACCAGAATTTACATCACGTCGGGGAGCTGGGAAGCCTGGGCCTGTATCTTGCTTACGTTTACAAAGAAGGCTGGGGAGGTGGGGCAGACCGTCCACCCTCACCTTCCCCGTAAGTCCACGCTAGCCTAGGCACACGGCCCTCCCCCTCAGCACATGGAACCATTTTCCCATCTCGAACTCAACACTCCCCCCAACCTGCTTCAGCCCGAAGGCTGGCACACAGGGGGCAGCCTCGGGGTCCAGGAGATGGAGTGCTGCCCATGACCTGAGGAGGGGCCAACGTGACCCCTGGGGAGAGGAGGGTAGTCAGGGAAGGGATTTAAAGGACCAGGAACAGTCAATACAGGAACCCTGTTCTAGTTCAGTGTCCCAAACCCAGAAGAGGCCCAACCCCAAGTAACAGCAAAGGAAACATGTGACGTGTGTGCTTCTAGGCTTCTCTCTCTCCCTCTTAGGTCTCTAGGTAATGGAGGGTCTGAAGCGAAGTCTACACACCATCAGCTGTTTGCAGCCTGTCACTCGATCCCTCCCACATCCCAATCCCTAATTCCATGCACTCTGGAGAACAACGGGGCACACAGCCCCTCGAGGCCTCACCATGAGAAGGCAGACAGGAATGGGGCAGAGCACCCCAAGTCTAGCGACCAAAAAGTTTCCGCAGGGCCACCAGTGACGGCCCCGCAGAAGGCACAGGGGCAGGGAGAGGAGGGGTTAGGGGTTCCAATGGAGCCCTGTCCCCAAGCAGCCCCTCGTCGGTGTTCTCGCCACCTAGCCGCTGACATCACGAAGCAGGTCAGTCAGTGGTTGGATGGAACCCAGACCGAGAGGCCCAGCTGCCTTTCCCATCAGGGTTCATCCTCCCCTCCTGGATCAGCAAGATCATCGAGAGCGTGTGGATCGGGGTCAGAGGGACAAAAGGGCACCCATCAAGGAAAAGGTTCTGGGTGCAGGGAGTCTGAGGGGGTGACTGGGGATGGGAGGAGGGATGCCTCGCTGCTCCTAAGCTGCCTGGCTAAGCTGGGCTGGTGTGCGGTGCTGAGTGATCTTACCCATATACAAACCCTTATACCAACCATACACTGAGGTGTTGTAAGGGGAGCGTAAGCATCAGCTGCAAGCCAGCTGCGTGGTGGCTGCAGTGACAATAAGAACAGTCAATTAATATGGCGGCCCCTGGACACGCCGCAGCCACGCCCGCCCGCCCCCACCCATCCCTGCCCATGTGGACGCTGCTGTAGCCTCAGAGGGGGCTTTGGACTTGTGGGGGCAGGCGCTGAGCATGCCTACCAGCCCGCTGCCCGCTGAGAAACAGGGTGGGGGCCAGGGTGGGGAGGCGGAGGGCCGGGTAGCCTCGCCCCAGCTCTGCTGGAGGGAAGAAAGGCTGGTTCAAAGGCCAGTCCTCATTCCAACCTGGCTGCCCCGATCCAGTGGGGGAAGGGGGAGAGGCTTCCCGAAAATCCGACCCCTCCACCCACCTTCAACTGGCTCCAACCCCCACCCAGATCCCTCCTTGCCCGAGGTTCAACGTGTGACACTTACCTCCCCAGGTTCTCACACACACACACACACACATACATACACACACTGTGGGGGATTTCTTTTTTAAACACATACATGTATAAAAAAAAGATATATTAGAGAACAGAGGGAGGAGGAGAAAGGACATTGCTAATGTCAGGTTTGGCAGGATGGGAGTGGGGAACAGACACGGGAAGGGGCTGGGGCAGCAGAGAGAGGGTCAGAGGGCCGGGCTCGGAGGGAGGTACTCACAGTGCATATCTCGCTCATGTTCGTACTCGATGAAGGCATAGCCTCGGGGCTTTCCTGACCGCTTGCTGTACACCATGTGTATCTGGAGGGCCGGGCGGGGCAGAGGTTATCTCAGGAAAAGGACAACCTCAGCCCATCCACCACACAGCCCGCATGTCAGGCCCTGGGCTGGGTGATGCCCAAGACTAATGCCTCAGACCGTCTCTGTCTTTCAAGATCCCAGAGGTCTGACACTCGAACGGTAATGGGCTAAGCAGTTTATGTGCAGGATGACCTCAAACCCTCACTACTGCCCAGGATATTTAAGTGATGTTGAAAATAAATGAGGAAATTTCAGGGAAATAGTCTTGCTCTGAAACAGGAGTCAGCATACGTTTCTATGAAGAGCCAGACAGCAGGTATTTCTGGCCCTGAGGGCCACACAGTCTGTGTTGCAAGGACCCAACTCTGCATTAGCAGCAGCAACCGGCCACAGTAACGGGGCTGACTGGACACCAACAAACGTTATTTACAAATAGTGAGTTGGCAGTTTACCCGCCCCTGCTCGAAATCAACAAGGAGTCACCATTTCCTAAAAGGTGCTTCAGCTACCCAAGTCAGTTGTGTGGTTTGGGAGCCAGCCTTCTCCCTCCCTCCACATTCCCCAACTTAAATACCCAGCCCCAGTCCACTCACTCTTTTGATGGGTCCATATACTTCAAATTCTCTCCGGAGCTTGGATTCTGTCGTGTCATAGTTCTACAGGGAGAGAGATGCAGGGTTAAGTGGGAGGAGTGAGCTGTCTCAAAGCTGACCCCTTAGAGCATCCTTGGGACCAGCCTTTGCCTCTGTCCCACCCCAGCTCCCAGCAGCCGGACTCCAGACCTCGCACTCACCACTCTGGCCACAAAGAGCGTCTTGAAGGCATCACCCTGAGCGTTGGGGTCGTTGTGAGGGTCCCCTGCATGAGAAGATAAGGTGTCAGTAGAAGACAGACAGACAGACGGACAGAGGCCATGACGGAAGACCGCTGGTGACCTGGAGTCCTGGTTCCCGGAGGCACAGCAGCCTTCACAAGGTGCTGATGTAAGCTCATGTGGGAGGGAAGAGGGACTCCAAGCTTCTCATAACAGATGGGGCCCGCCTGCCACTTCTACAAACCCTGAGGCCCTGTCTCTCTCAGCTGTACCTCAACTTGATTGGGCATCTCTGAGGGGGCAGCCTGAGAGCCCTGGAGGTGCCGTTGTTCCCTCACCGACAGGACCACACTGCCCTCCACTGGCACAGCCCGAAACTGCAGCCCGAAGGGAGACCTGAGATCAAGCAGCCCTCTTTGGCTGAGAGTGGGCGTTTAGGAACATGCAAGCCTGGGGAAGAACCAGGGAAGAACCGAGGGCTGCAATCAGAGCTCACAAGAGGTTAATCTGATTTTTTCTTCCTGCCTTTCTACCACAAGGCCACTGAGGAACAACTATCTCCACAGACAAGAGCCAGAATCTATTACAAAATCAATGGCATAGACCAGTTTGCTGCTCTGTTGACTAATGAATTTGCTGAGCACTGTGTAAGGCATTACCCTTACCCAGAAGTTCTGACTTCAGGTTAAATACATTAGTACATTACTGTTTTGTTTTTAAAGCTTTAAAAAAAAAAAAATATATATATATATATATACACATATACATACATATACATATATATATATATATATATTTTTTGACTTTTTTACAGAGAGGAAGGGAGAGGGATAGAGAGTTAGAAACATTAATGAGAGAGAAACATCGATCAGCCGCCTCCTGCACACCCCCCACAGGGGATGTGCCCACAACCAAGGCACATGCCCTTGACGGAAATCGAACCTGGGACCTTTCAGTCCACAGGTCAACGCTCTATCCACTGAGCCAAACCGGTTTCAGTACATTAAAATGTTTTTTAACCGAAAACGGTTTGGCTCAGTGGATAGAGCGTTGGTCTGCGGATTGAAGGGTCCCAGGTTCGATCCAGTCAAGGGCATGTGCACTGGTTGCGGGCACATCCCCAGTGGGAGTTTGCAGGAGGCGGCTGATGGATGTTTCTCTCTCATTAATGTTTCTAACTCTCTATCCCTCTCCCTTCCTCTCTGTAAAAAATCAATAAAATATATTCTTTTAAATGTTTTTTAAGTGTTTTTTCCTAGCAGTGGTGGGCAAACTCATTAGTCAACGGAGTGGCAAACCATGGCTCATGAGCCAGTTTGCCAACCACTGGCACAGGCCACTCTGACGGGTCAAGCCTGGGAAAGAAATCCTTTCCACCAGGTATGGCAGCCCCAGCACACACAATGGCCACTGACTCCTGCCACGGCCCCACAGCACCCTGCCCATTGCACAGAGACAGCGGTTCTTCTGCACACAGTGCTAACAGGACTTCCACATTCTGGGGGAAAATGAGAAAAGGAATACTAACTAAATGCATAATATGGGATACTGTGCTAGACAGCTGATAATTATTTATCATGTGCAAAGAGAAACAAAATTAAGCCCTGAGGCATGTCAGAGCAGGAGCAGCAGAGACCAAGCCTGACTCTACACCCTAACCTGACTGCACAGCCAGATGTCCTAACCAGCAGGCCCCCACGCTGAACCCCAGGCACTGGCTTCTCAGGAAGCCAGAAAAGTCAAAGATCTGTGTCCTGTGAGAGGAGAACACAAACTAAGTTCCAGATGACTTTAGAAAATTTCTTTTTTTATTGATGTTTTTAGAAAGAGGGGGAAAGGGAGAAACATTGATGGCTGCCTCTTGCACACCCTGGGGTTCAAATCCACAGATATACCACTTTAGTTTCTAATAAGGACCTTTTAAAAACTATAACCAGCCCTAGCTGGTTTGGCTCAGTGGATGGAGCATAGGCCTGTGGACTGAAGGGTCTGAGGTTTGATTCTGGTCAAGGCACATGTCTGGGTTGCAGGGTCAATCCCCAGTGGGGGTGCAGGAGGCAGCAGATAGATGATTCTCTCTCATCACTGATGTTTCTATCTCTCTCACCCTCTCCCTTCATCTCTGAAATCAATAAAAGTATATATATACCTATTTTTTAATTTTAATTATGTTTTTATTCATTTCTGAGAGGAAGGGAGATGGATAGAAACATCAATGATGAGAGAGAATCATCTATCAGCTGCCTCTTGCATGTCTCCCATGCAAGAAAGGGTTGAGTCTGAACTGTAGGCATGTGCCCTGACCAGGAATAGAACCGTGACCTCCTGGTTCATAGGTTGATGCTCAACCCGAGCCGGGTTATAAGGATATTTTTTATTTTTTTATTATGGTATCTCGTAATTGCCCTCATTCTCCCATTCCCACCCCAAACCCCTCCCCACATATGCTCCCACCCCCGTTGTCCATGGCCACTGGCTAGGCCCATCTGCATGCACACAAGTCCTTTGGTTGATCTCTCCCCCTTTCCCCCACCCTCCCCTACTTTCCCTCTGAGGTTTGACAGTCTGATCGCTGCTTCTCTTTCTCTGGGTCTGTTTTTGTTCATCAGTTTACGTTGTTCATTATTTCCTCTAGATGTGTGAGATCATGTAATCCAGGAAATAAAAGTATATTTTTAAACAAAAAACTGGACAGCAACAACTGCTGTCCTGCAAAATTGGATGGCCATGTCCCAGGAAAGAAAACACCCCAAAACGGCCAGGTTGGTGAGAAGGGGAAATCCTGGACCCTGTGCCCAAGATGCCTTTGAGGCAGAGAGAGAAGGCAGCCGCAGAAAGTCAGGGCTGAGTCAGGTAGACCCAGGACTCTGGAGGTCAGACATGTGCAGAAGCTCCCTGAGGACCCTCCCAGGAAGAAGGCTGGGGTGAAGTGGTCCCCCAAAGCCTCACTAGGAGGAGGCACTCGCCGCCCCAAGTTGTGAAATCTGGTAAACGGCTCTCTCCCCCAAAATCCCATTCCAGTACCTGGAAGGGATGGAACATCCAGCCCAAGGGTTAGGGTGCTCAGGTGGAGCCAGGACTATCTCACCAGCCAGGCCCTCACTCCTCAGCCTGGGACCCAGCTGGACTGTGGCAGCCCCTCCAATGCGCAGCCCGAGGCACCCGCTCTCCCTTCCTGCCAGCCCTCCTCCCCTCTCCCGCTTAGGGACCACAGTGAACATAGTGCCGGATGGGGGGTGGGGGGGGGCTAAGACGTGAACCAACAGCCCTACTTTCCCCAAACAGGCTCTCAGGGTCGATCTTTGAAGAGATGTGGGAGAAGGAAAGAGACTTACACATTTTTAGCTCTGTCTCCACTTCCTGCTGTCGCCGCTCAATCTTTTCTCGTCTCTGTCAGGAGAAAGGTGGAAATTAAATGCAGACAAAAGTGCCCTAATGTCCAGGACTGCCCGGACAAGGGACACAAAAGGCAGGGCCAGGAGGCAGTTACATACCTTCCTCTCCATGCGCTCCTCCCGCGTTTCTGCGCGTGTCGGGGGAGGGGCATCTCGAGGGTCCTGGGGACGAGAAGAGGTGACAGGGTGGGAGGGACGATGGGAAATGGCAAAGCAGTAAGAAGCATCTCGGCCACACATACAAGCAAGCAAACAAGGACAGTTCGCAGGCCAGTGGAGGCAGGGGAGTGGCACCACTGCCACTGGCAAACTGTTCCCGGCCTGTGTTAAGAGAAGCACAGAAATCAGCCGGGACCGGTTTGGCTCAGTGGATAGAGCATCGGTCTGCAGACTGAAAGGTCCCGGGTTCGATTCCAGTCAAGGGCATGTACCTTGGTTGCGGGCACATTCCCAGGAGGGGGTGTGCAAGAGGCAGCTGATCAATGATTCTCTCTCATCGATGTTTCTAACTCTCTATCCCTCTCTCTTCCTCTCTGTGAAAAATCAATAAAATATATTTTTAAAAAAGAGAGAAGCACAGAAATCAGAAGTAGTGTTCACAGGTCTACAGCAATCTGACAGGGGAGCGCTTTTATACCTACACAATAATAAAAATTCTCTTCTATTTCGTAGTCTTTTATTTTGTTTACATATTTATTTTGGGGGAGAGAGAAGGCATCGATTTGCTGTTCCACCCATTCCACATCCACTGGTTATTTCTGTAAGTGCCCTGACAGGGGATGGAACCCGAAACCCTGCCATATCAGGAAGATGCTCCAACGGAGCTCCCCAGCCAGGGCTATGTGCCTTCTTTTAGAATGCTAGGAAACAATGCTCCTGCGTGGACCGAAAGCATCCAACTGCAATGGGTCTGTCCGTCACAGACTGAAACTGGGACCAGGCCTGAAGCCAAAGGACCCGCCAGCGCAGTGCTCAGAAGCAGACAGCGGCACAGCCCCTGGGGCCAGCAGGTCTCACCCCCTCATTAAATACAACTGGCGCGTAACCACATCGCCAGAGGGTGCCGCTGGACTTCAGCCATTCCATCGGCTTAACTGGCTAATAACATTCCCGGGTCCGGTTCACGGAGGGCGGCAAATCCTCCGATAGAACCAATCTTCTGCTCTCTCTCCGCGAACAAGCCCTGCTACTTTCTCGCCTCCAGCTGCCCTTCCCCCCTCCCTGCCAGAATTTCCTTTCCAACTTCTGGCTTCCTGCCACCGTTGCTCAGGTGTGCTCTGCTGCACCTTAGGAGCGGATGTTGTTACCCCAATTTTACAAAAGAAAGAGACCCAGGAATCTAGGCTGTGTGTCCGTGTCTATCCTGAAGGTGCAGAGCGTAAGCCTCAAGCCCACGGTCTTAAGCACTCTACCACACGGCACTAACCCTTCGCCAGCCTGTCAAAACGGTCAAAACAAACACTGAATCTTGCTGACTGCCACGCCTTGTAACACACATTCTGCAGTTAACTGCCCATCAATATTCCGAAAAAATAACAACCCTTTGCTGAAAATGAAGAAAACACTAAGAGGATGCATCACTTGCCCAATGTCACTCAGCTGCCGAGGACCACCTGACTCCAAAGCCTGAATATCCAACTGCCAGTGACTGAATTTTCACAAAACCCCGCAAGGGGGATATTCTCATTAGGACAAGGAAATTGGCCCAGCCAGTGTGGCTCCGCGGTTGAGCACTGACCTTTGAATCAGGAGGGCACAATTCAATTCCTGGTCAGGGCACATGCCCAGGCTGTGGCTCAATCGTTAAGGAGGGGGCATGAGCCGAAACCGGTTTGGCTCAATGGATAGAGCGTCGGCTTGGGGACTGGGGGGACCCGGGTTCGATTCCGGTCAAGGGCATGTACCTTGGTTGCGGGCACATCCCCAGTAGGGGGTGTGCAAGAGGCAGCTGATCGATGACTCTCTCTCATCGATGTTTCTAGCTCTCTATCTCTCTCCCTTCCTCTCTGTACAAAATCAATAAAATATATTTAAAAAAAAAAAAAAGGAGGGGGCATGAGGAGACAGCTGATCAATGATTCTCTCTCATCACTGATGTTCCTCTCTCTCTCTCTCTCTCTCCCTTCCTCTCGGCAATCAATAAAAAATTGAGTATCAGAAAGAATAAATCCACACGGGTAGCAACAAATGGCCAGAGACTGGGCTCCCCCATCCCAGACCCCCACCCCAACCCCCAGAACCCCAAACCGCTGCATCCCGCTCCGTGAACTCACCTCAAACTCTCGGATGTAGGGCGCAATGCCACAGTAGGGTTGATTGTGGTGTTTTTCATGTGGCAGCTTCTCCAGGGGTGGCAGGTACGGGATGGGGTCCCGGGGAGCAAAGAGGGCCAAGAGGTTGGGCGGCAGGAACTGAGTCATCTTGCCAAGCCTGACGGCGAAAGCGAGCCGGCCTTGGGGTGAGGGTGGGCCCGGGGGGGCGGGGGAGGGATGAAGCAAACCCCTCCCAGGCCTTCACCCCCGAGAACAGAGGGAGGGGGGGGGCAAGACGTCGGCATGAAAATCGCTTCTGTCAGGGCACAGAGCGACCCTCTGTCACGGAGGAAAGGAACAAGTGGAAACGAGAAGGCAAGTTCTTGGAAGAGGGCTGTGTGAGGGCGCAGCAAGCCCGGGAGGGAAACGAAAACCGAAAAAGGCTTTTTCTAAGCAGAAAGTCTCCGAGTCCCCGAGCAAGGAGCCGTGGGGCCCACAGGCTTCCCGGAGGCGATGGAGGAAGGCAGGGACACGGGGGAGGGAGGGAGGGAGGGAGGGCGGCGGCGGCGGCCGGGGTCCCGCACCTCAGCGAACGCGCAGGGGCCGCGGGAAACCCCCGGTAACCGGAGAGGGACCGTCCTTAGCGAAACCCTCCAGCCGGGGCTTGTGGGTAATGGGTCCGAGCCCCCCGCGGGCGAAAGGGATTATGGGTAAGGGTCCGGGACACCGCGGAGACAGAGAAGGAAAAAAAAAAAAAAAGGCAACACACCGCAAGGGCCTGTGGGTAAGGGGCCGCGGGAGGGCTGCGGGGAGAGGGCCTGAGCGCCCAGAGGACGCTGGGTAAGGGCTGCAGCAAGGTGGCCGCGGCGGCGGGGGAGGAGGCCCGGCCGCGGGGAAAGGGCCCAGCCGCAGGGACTTTGGGGGTAGCAGCCCCGCACCCGGGGAAGGCCCCTCAGACACACTCACCCGCCGCGCGGCGCCCTCCTCGACCCGGCGACGGTCCGGGGGCTCGCGGCGGCCCCTCAGCAATAGGGACTATTGCTCCGGCTTCGACCCCAGCGGCGTCCGCGTCCGGCTGCCTCCGTCGCCCGCCAAGCGCGCGCACCAGACCGCTGCTGAGGAGCCCGCGCGGCCTCGGCTCGCGGCGGCGCAGGATGTGGGGCCGGCCCCGAATCCCTCCGCCGCCGCCCTGCGCACGCGCCGCTCCGGGCGCGAGCTACCCACACGCGCCGGGATCCGGCTCCGCCGCGGGCACTGCGCAAGCGCGAGGCCTCGGCCCCGCCTCCGGGCGCCTCAAGCTCCCTCGCCGCGGCGGGCTGGAGCTCGCAGTGCGCACGCGCGGCCGCCCCGAGCCCTCGCTCCGGCACCTAGAGATTTGGACTCCAACCGCTTCTCTCCGCGAGACCCTTCTCGATGCCCCGCCCCTTTCCCTAACACACTTCCCGGATCTTGCGCGCATGCGGCAGTAGTCGGCGTACTTGGCTGTACCCCTCCGCCTGCTGACAAAGAGTCCCTATGCGACTAGTGTGGTCATTGGGGCGCCTCGTCTCTGCAATCAGTCACTGCTCACTGAGCGCCTCGGGCATGCTAGGCGCTGTTTGGCCTCTAGGAATATGGCACGTGACTAAAGGAAACTCTTGGAGCTCACATTGTATGAGGGAGGGACCATAAGAGTGTTAAAAAGAATAAATATAATTTATTTTTTTAAAATATTTTTTATTCAGTTTTTACAGAGAGGAGGAGAGAGGGATAGAGAGCTAGAAATGTCGATGAGAGAGAAAGCTGCCTCTTGCACACCCCCTACCGGGGATGTGCCTGCAACCAAGGTACATGCCCTTGACTGGAATCGAACCTGGGACCTTTCAGTTCGCAGACCGACGCTCTACCACTGAGCCAAACCGGTTTCGGCTAAATATAATTTCTGATAGTGGCATGCGCGATACAGAAAAATAGAACAGAGTAAGGGGATGGGCAGTGAAAGCGGGTCTGTTTTAGAAAGGGCGTTAATGGGAGGTTTTCTGAAGAAGGGACATTTGAGCCAAGGCGCGGGGTTAACAGCAGGTGCAAAGGCCCTGATTTAGGGGAGGGGGTGGGGGCCCTGGAATCCCGCCGTTGACCATGAGGTCAGAGAGCTGGCAGCCATGTCTCTTAGAACACTGGAGACCTGTGAAGAGTTAAATGTTGTATGTACACTTTATTGGATAGATTGCATTGATTTTTTTTTTTAAAGTTTAAATGACTAATTTCATATTTCAGGAAACGTACTCTTAAGAGCACAGGGCGCTTGCGTGCTGCGCGGCCGGCGGGGAGGCAGGGGGGGGGGGGGCGGGCCTGGGCGGCCTCTTGGCCTCTGCGCCTCGGGGACACCGCGCGGGCCACCGGCACCATGAAGATTTGGACTTCGAAGCGCGTCTTTGACCACCTATGGGAAACTGTTACAATAGCCGCAATGCAAAAATATCCAAACCCGCCGAAGCCAGACTGAAGGGTCCCAGGTTCTATTCCGGTCAAGGGCACGTACCTTGGTTGCGGGCACATCCCCAGTAGGGGGTGTGCAGGAGGCAGCTGATGGATGTTTCTCTCTCATCAATGTTTTTAATTCTCTTTCCTTCTCTCTTCCTCTCTGTAAAAAATCAATAAAATATATTTAAAATATATATATATAATTGATTTTTTACAGAGAGGAAGGGAGAGAGATAGAGAGCTAGAAACATCGATGAGAGAGAAACATCGACCAGCTGCCTCCTGCACACCCCCTACTGGGGATGTGCCCGCAACCAAGGTACATGCCTTTTACCGGAATCGAACCTGGGACCCTTCAATCCGCAGGCCAATGCTCTGTTCACTGAGCCAAACCGGTCTTGGCTAAAAGATATATATTTTAAATACATTTAAAAACTATATTTTAGATTAAAAAAAGAGCACATACTGTAAAACACATTTTAAAATATATTTTATTGATTTTAGAGAAGAAGGAAGAGGGAGAGATACAAACATCAATGATGAGAAAGAATCATCAATTCGGCTGCCTCCTGCACGCCCCCCACTGGGACCCAAGCCCACAACTCAGGCATGTGCCTCTGGCCGGAATTGAACCTGGTTAGAGCCATAAAAAGCATTTTGACAGCCTGGCAAGGTAGCTGGGTTAGAGCATACTGGGGATACACTAAGGTTGTGTTCAATCCCCAGTCAGGGCACATTCATGAATCAACCAATGAATACATAAGTAAGTGGAAAGACAAATCAATATTCCTCTTTCTATACCTCTATCTCTAAAAATCAATAAATAAAACAATTTAATTTAAAAAATATTTTGAGCTGAAACCGGTTTGGCTCAGTGGATAAAGCGTCGGCCTGTGGACTGAAAGGTCCCAAGTTCGATTCCGGTCAAGGGCATGTACCTTGGTTGTGGGCACATCCCCAGTAGGGAGTGTGCAAGAGGCAGCTGATCGATGTTCCTCTCTCATTGACTTTTCTAGCTCTCTATCTCTCTCCCTTCCTCTCTGTAAAAAGTCAATAAAGTATATTTTAAAAAAAGAAAAAGGAGAAAATCTTTTTTACATTTGCTTTACTTACGTATGTATGTGGGAACTCTGCACTATATTTTTGAGCTTTTCTGTGATTCTAGAATTACTTCAAAATGAAATATTTAAAGAAAATAAAGCTAACCCTACCGTAATAATATTCAGCCATGCAAGTGATCTTTTAAAAATGTAAATGAGGCATGTCCCTCACCTAGCATGTATCTTCTAAGAGTAAGGATTTGCTGCCATATAACCACAAAATTATTTTCACCCCTAAGAAAGTTTACCCAACTCTTATTCAGATTTTCCCAATTGGACCCAAGAATATTTTGTCTCAATTCAAACCAGGAGCCAAGCAAGATTCACACATTGTGGTTGTTATGTCTCCTTAGTCTGTTTTAATATAGAACACACACACACACACACACACACACACGCCCTCCCTTTGGCTGTTGTTTTTCCCAAAGTTCACAGCAGCTCCCAGCAGAATGTCCCAGTAGGTCTGTCTAATTGTTTGCCCCTGCTGTTAGAGTTTGTTCCATGACTCCTGTGCTGTCTGTAAAACGGACATTGAGGCTGAAGGTTTGGAGAGGCTGAAGTTAAGACTTTGGGGCAAGGACGTTTCCTGACGATACCATGAAATTCGTATTGAATCGCATCTGGAGGTGCATAATGTCAGGCGGTCCCACCGTGAGGACGCGGAGCGTGGTCATCTGGTCAGGGGCCGGAGGGCAGATGCCTCCTAGTGAAGGAGCCTTTTCCCCGTGGCGATCTCAGAAGTGAGACCTTGCCACCTTGCACACCTTCTGCTCTGCAACTATTATTGTAGCAGTCACTGCTGATCCTTGCCTGGATCAGGTGTTACAAGGGGTGAAGGAAGATTTATTTATTTATTTATTTTTAATATATTTTATTGATTTTTTACAAAGAGGAAGGGAGAGAGATAGAGAGCTAGAAACGTCTATGAGAGAGAAACATCAACCAGCTGCCTCCTGCACACCCCCTACTGGGGATGTGCCCGAAACCAGTGTACATGCCCTTGACCGGAATCGAACCTGGGACCTTTCAGTCTGCAGACCAACGCTCTATCACTGAGCCAAAATTTTGGCAAGATTTATTTTTTTTTAATGAAGTAGGAAGTAACATGTTTTGACCAGACAAGGGACATACCTAATTTACTTTTTTAAAAAGTGTATTTTATTGCTGAAACAGGTTTGGCTCAGTGGATAGAGCGCCGGCCTGCGGACTGAAGGGTCCCAGGTTTGATTCCGGTCAAGGGCATGTACCTTGGTTGTGAGCACATCCCCAGTGGGGGGTGTGCAGGAGACAGCTGATCGATGTTTCTCTCTCATTGATGTTTCTGACTCTATCCTTCTCCCTTCCTCTCTGTGAAAAATCAATAAAATATGTTTTAAAAAAACAACAAAATGTAAACAGGTTTCTACACCAGCTTTATTCATATAATAACCACAAATGAAATGTAACTTAAACGTCCTTCGTATAGTGAATGGGTACATCGATGGGCATACAGCCATGCCTGGGAATGAGAGTTAAGAAAGAGCTACTAGCCGAAACTGGTTTGGCTCAGTGGTAGAGCGTCAGCCTGGGGACTGAGGGGTCCCGGGTTCGATTCTGATCAAGGGT